AGTATAAATTTTTTGAGGATTAAAGCAGATTTTTAATAAGACACTTAAATTGAAAAATGACAGCCATAAATGGGATATTATAAAAATAATAAATAAACAATTATAAATTGTGCACAACCCTTGTGCAGATAAAGCGTATTTTTGTTTAACCGATATAGCTTACTAAATGGTTGGGTTATAAGGGGAGGAGGCTCTTTACACACAAACATTTAAAGATCGCCTGGCATACATTCAAAATTCTCTGAGACTACATTCTGCAGATTTTGCCTATGAGAGTACGATCCTTCGACAAACCGTTTTCGAGATATTCGCTCTTAAAGTTTCGACATCACCAATGGATATATTTCTTGCAGGTGTTCCAATCGCCCTTTGTGAGTCCCCTCTTCCGATAATCCGTCCTGGAGATATAAGGGAATATATCCGAACACGATAAGAAGTCGAGGAGGAGGACTATGGTTGATAGAAATTAATTCCTTTCGTTGAGACCTTTCATTAAGGCCACCATGAAGGATAAAACCAGTTCCACTCCCATTTCAGAATATAATTGATGGGGTGGGGTTTTAAGACAGCGAAATTTGATGGCCATTTGGAACATCTTCAAGGTATAAGGCTACCAACTGCAAAAATTCCTGGGCTCTAGTAGTTCGAAACGGCACAAGCGGGTCCGAACGGACGGACGAACAGACGGCAAACAATACCACATTTTTTTATTCTTAAAAAATGCGCTAAAAAACCTCAAACATATTCCTTTATTGATTTTTCCCAATCTTTTAAACATTTTCTTTTTGCAGCGCATCTGAAGTTAACCTCTGGTTTATAAAATTTTGCAATTGTAATGAAGAGTTTAAGAGGCTCCGAATAAAGACATAAGTGCCCCTTCACACTAAGCGACAGCGTTGCTGAAAAGCGAGCAGCGCGACGCCTCAAGGGCGGGGCCTGGACCCCAACGAAATATCGGTTTCTGTTCTAAAAAAATAACGATTCGGTTCTGCGCATTTTTTTTGTCCATAACGGGTCTTTTCGGTTGTAGTCCTTTAGAAAGTATAGCGTTCAAATAATTCATTATAACAACGTAAGCGAAAAAAAGTTATGTCATGAATACCAAAGCGCGACGTATCGTCAGTGTAGCTAATTTACAACGAGAAGGGGAATAAAGGAGGAAGAGGGAAATATGTATTTAACTTCATTTATTAATAAAAACAAAAAATACCCAAAAACTTTTGTAGACAATTATGTATTGTTTTTTTTTCTAAAACCTCGCCCCTCCTTTTATTATTTACATTTACAGTAGTGGCTAAATTAGCGCCATCGCCATCCGTACTGCCTTCAATTTCAACACCTTATTTAAAAAACTATATTCCACCGATAGCAATCATAGAGTAATATTTTCAAGACGTATTTGCCGGCGTGTCCTTCAACTTCCAATAACCTGTAAACCGTAAAAAAACGAAAAGAACCGAAAAAATAACGATTCCGGTTCTCAATAAGTTTCTATTTCTGAAGGAATAACGGTTGCTTTCTGTTCGGTTTTCGGTCCAGAAAAAATACCGGTTTCGCACGGCAGCGTACCGGAACGAATTTTATTTAAAACATAGTTTTAAACGAGAGTGCGCTCGCTTGTCGGAAGATCACCGATCGGCAGCGCAACGAAGCGGGCTTTTTCTGCTTCGTCGCATAAAACGGAAATTATAAACACAGCTTCCTCGTCAGAGGACACAATTGTTAAATGAAGATTAGGAACACTGAACACAGATGATAGAGTGCCGAGTCCGTGATCATGCTGTAGATCGACAATGAAATTGGAACAAGAAATGGTTACATGTAAACGCTCTTTCGATTTATTGGAACAATAAATTGGACACGATTTATCGTAGCTGAGATCGTAGCGTGTAAAGTACGCTTTAGACCACAATCTGTGCTTATGCGGCCCCTTCACGCACACTCCCGGAACGAGGCGCCGCCGTCGGTTTTGGAACAAATCGCGAAGCGTCAACTTCTGCAGTGTATAATAAACTGCACGTTCGCGCCATTTCCTTCCTAGAGGTGGTCCTGTCAATAACAAGACGAGTTTGGTAAAAAGAAGACAAATTGCAGCTATAATTCTTCAGAAATATATCATGGATAACATAAATGAAGAGCCGAAGAAGAGGAGGAACCATGATATTGGAACAGACAGAAACTCGGCAGTTTGATTTTATTACAAGAAATTAGTACCTTCGATTCCGAAATGCTATTTTTAGATGGAAATGTACAGGGTATGTCATTTAAATAAATTTAAGTTAGATCCAATAACTTTTTTACCCGATAGTACTGTGTAATTATTTATTTTGAAAACGGCAGATTATTTATCAATAATTTTCAAGAAACATTTTTTTGTTTCTGTTTTTACTAAGAATATATACGGTCATTCTGAAATTGAAAATTGTTTGATTTATCTCCGTATCTCTGAAGCAAAAATGTGGAAATTTTGATTTTACCATTGCAAGTTTGACGCAAAGAGAGTCCATAACGCCTATAAAAGTGTCAAAAATGGGACACCCTGTACATGAAACACTATGTAAAATTCCAAAAGGAAAATAAGAATGTATTTTCATTTAAAAAAAGTTGTTGGTTTTAACTTATTTTTGAGCATGTGCTCCTTTTAAACTTTAAAACTTAAAATCAAAATTTTCGCTCGGGTAAGAAATACATGGAAAACCACAAAATTGTTGATTTCAAAATGATTATAGGCCCGTATTATAAAGCCATACAGCATACTTAACTATGTTGTCAGCTAACAGTGTTGATTGGATGTTTTTACAAACAATAACATTCTTAAGTCCGGCCCGTGTGTCGCAGTTGAGTTGAAGCTGGATTGCGGTACAAAGGGTCCCTGGTTCGACTCCGGGTACGGGCATGTGTATTTGTAAATGTGTAGTGAGTTAGGTTATTACAGCAGCCTTAGCTGAAACCCCGCCCACACAATATACTAAAGACAACAAGTTAAAAAAGTAATGCGGATTTATGGCTCAGTGGTAAGAGCATTGGGTTATAAATCCGAAGGTCGGGTGTTCGAACCTGGGTTGAGGTGAATTTTTCATCTGTGGCGGAGATGGAAATTACCTTAGGCCAGTTCCGAGCATTCTACCGGCTACTCCGAATTAGGTTTTCCTGCAGTTTTCCTAATTCGTAAGGTAAATACCGGAGTAGTATAGACCATCTTAAGACCTTCTGCAGAGGCACCTCTAAATAGCATTATGCGGGTCACTCTGTAATTGGGCGCATGCCTGTTGAGGGCCCAAAACAAGAGAGGGATAATAAAATAAAAAATAATCGTAAACGATTTACAAAAAGCGCATTTCCACTTGCATTCATTTTTCATTTGTCAGATGCAACTTCTATTAAAATCGTAAAAATCGGGCCACAAAGATAGCGTTGCACATGTGCAATCCATTTTTGACGTGCTACTTCAATTTTTGTTTATAAGAAGAATTTCATTTCAATGCTTTCATAAATGAGACACTGCGCATGCGCAAACCTAAATTTTTAAACTAACGCTAGATTTTCCTTTGTTTCAAGTGGCTATGTATCAAATGTCATTTAAATGCTTCCATAAATAAAAAAGTATGCAATTCGGTTTATAATTAGTCGAGATGCGAAAAGGGTACTGTGAATTTTGAATCGATTCGACCCACCTTTGGCATTGCGTATTATATGGCTAAAGCTATGCCCATATTGAATTTGATTTTTTTTGTAATCATCTCTTTTTAACGCATTTTTTGCAAATTTATTTGTAAAACGATGGCTTTTAATCTCACTTTGGCCGGCGGGCTAGCTGGCTGGCAGCAAATGAGATCCCGTAGAAGATCGCTTGTAGAAAGATGAGGAGTGTACTTGTACCTACCGGGCCGCATAATTAACAATTCTTTAGGGGCGAGGCTACATGGTGTGGGGTCGGTGACATCCGGGCGCCATCCCCGAGCGTGGTTTACTAACGTGGTGATTTTTTAGTTTTTTCCTATTTTCTTCTGCAAGAAAAACTGAAAAATCACCATCACCATCACTTCATGTAGCCCCGCCCCTAAAGAATTGTTAATTATGCGGCCCCCGGTAGGTACAAGTACACTCCTCATCTTTCTACAACTGCAGAAGAAGACTAAAAAATCACCACGCGGTTTTACCTTTTGAAAAAGTTACTTTCATGTTGCAATTTTACAGGCCAATAGAAACTGGTCTACCACACAAAAATGCGCTGAAGTCCATTCGATCTCACACGATTTTTTTTTCATAACGTCATATTTAAATTCTGTTTCCGTAGTTTCAAAATTTGGAAAATGGATATCAATATACTTAATACGAACGGGTGCGTAACATTAATTTCTACAAAAAAAAACTAAATAGACTTGGTTTCTAAGCGAATAATCGAACATGAAGATTATTTGAAATTGTATTGGAAGTAGGTACGCGAGAAGTTTAAAAATTGGTTTGAAATTTCCAACGAGCAAATGATCAATTTATTAATAAACCTTATCTATAATGTGCGGTACAAATCTTGTAATTTTTATGCACTCGAATCAATAAGTTGGTCAAAACCCTCAACAAATTTATGAATTTAATGAACCTTCGATACTTACTATTAATTGTTGTGTGCATATTGGATTTCGTTCCGCACGTTTTATAGAAATGCAAGTAGGTAATAAATTATTCGATAGAGTACAATCAATGTATTTTTTTTACGGAATGCATCCTCTTGAAAGGTCTGGCAGTCTAGAAAAGTGAAAAATTCTTTGATTTATTTACAGAGAATGTGGATTGTCAATGAAAAGGAGCTTCTTTTTCCAATATGTTAATAATAATAATAATAATAATAGTTAATTGTTAAATTTGTAATTTAAAATTATAGCAATAAACCTAATTATCTTCTATCATGCCTTTAATTTGCCTTGTCTTTGTGCTACTTCCAATAAACGACGATCATTTAAAACTTTAATCCAAAATCTAATCTAAACGCTTTTTTGCAGGATTACGTTGAGGTCGGTTCCACGCGAGATGAGGAGATAGATGAGGTGGAAGTACACACCATAACGCTGCTGTTTTTACGGTTTCTACTCAATCAAGACATAGAAAATTTCTGGTGTTGTACCAAAGTTAGAGGCTTCGGATTGTTCAAAGATTTGGTAATAGGAGTTCATACAAAATCCGGATCTACATTCAATTATGCGATTCATTTTCCAAGTCGCGGTAACCCAGAAGGTTTACAATTGAAACAGTTACTGTCAACATCAAATCAAGATGTCTTCAATAAATACACCCACGATATAGAGGATTTCATATTAAACGAAGAACCAGAGGAGAATTTGGAGATAACTCGGCAATTTAAGGATAACAGTTTAGCGGCATTTGTATTGTACTATCCCTGGAATGTAGAAGAGAGTTTAGAAGTAGCGCCAGAACGAAGTCAGGATGAAAACTGTTTCGGGATATTGCAAACATCGGTAGAAGGCTCATTCCTATTTGATACTGAAAATTCCCACAGTAATTTCTTTTTATGGGTTAATCAACAAAATGTCTCTGAACTGAAAGACGAAATACGGCAATGTATAAACATTTTGACAAAACATATGGGGTTAGAAGATGAAATACAGGAACATCTTCTGTTAGCTGTAACAAGAATGCTCAATGAAATAGGATTATCGTTTGATAAACATTACATACTGAATGTAATGCATGGGGTATTTCTACAACCTTATGTATGGAATTTCGATATCTCCGGAACATTGGAAAACAATGTAAATTTGAAAGGCTGGTCTAGCGTTTTAAAAAAATCAAGAATTGCAGTTGTCAAAGATAATACTATTCAACAATGTTTGAAGGACTATCTCAACGCATTAGTTATAGACTTCAGAAACAGTATAAAGAACCTTTCATTGGATTTTAGAGAAAATGAAGATCTTTCGTTGAACGATGTGTACGAGATTATGTGGCAAAGTGGGAAAGCTCCTTTAGTTATAGATGCCAACAGTCTATCAGTACATCATTACCTCATACGCTTACTACACAACTGTAATTCTAGTATGAAAACAATTTTTTTGATCAATCGTGATTGGATGTCTTCTTTAGAGCCTGACATGTGTACTAAATTAAAGGACTTTGATGAGGATGTTGTAATTGAGGTAATGGCTTGTCCCATTACTTTGCAAGGACGACCAACCACACTTTCGAAAACATGCGTGGAATTGTATACTGAATTAATTAACTTATTTGAAGTTGGCGATATAATTTCTATCCTATCAGGACAATATAATATTGGAAATATGCCCCAACCACTCTTAACCAACCATATCGAGGCATCTGTCGATGAGATTTGGATAGATACCAAGGCTCTTAAGGAAATAACTACAGATTACTTCATAATAAGATATGATTATCGTGACTTTGACGATTTAAAAACTTTCTTTAAGCACCACCAAATTGATATTAACGACGATGAATTCTCCAACTGGAATGAAAATACGAATAATAGCATAACCAGAATAAATTTAATTACGCATGATTCTACCGCAGCTCATATCCATTCTTGCCTGATACAATATGAAACGACTCATTTTTTAAAGTTTTCTGCAAATCTTGGTCTTGAATGGTTATACTCATTCGACACCAACAAGAATCTTCTTAAATATGTGACCAAGAATGGATATATGAATCATCAAAGAATAAAAATGGTGCAGAAGAAATTTGAGTGGCACATCTTGGGATCCGAAATCAGAATCATTGATGGCATTATGGGTAGTGGAAAAACAATCCTTTTAGATTACTTGGAAAATACAATTAAAACAAAATGGTGGATTATGAGAATTGATCTAAAGACATACGCCCCTCGTAAGATGTATGCAGAGAGCACTATGAACGCGGTATCCAAACTTGTATTCAACTATTATATGAAGAAAGGTAACATCGTAGTATTAATTGATGGATTTGATGAACTTAAAATTGAACTCTTTGAGGAAATTTTAAAAGAGATTCGCAGATTTTCAAGACGAAAATATGTGACATACATAACAACGCGGCCCAATTACAAAATTTTCTTAGAAGAATCTCTCCATACATTTTCTGTTTCGATACACGGATTCGGATATATGAAGCAACGCCAGTACCTAAATAATTATTTTACTTCAAAGTCTTCTAGTCCAACAGAGTGCACAAATTTGTTATCCAGTACTGAACGGAAAAGTCCTCTTCATTTAAAAATACTTGCAGACTTTATTTCCGTGAATGGGAATACTGTTGATGATAAAGAAACAGACGTGGTGGCCTTGTGTAAATACTTTGTTGATTCATATAGAGTCCTGGCTAGCAATGATAACTTGGGTCATCAACAGGCTGACTATGAGTACTGTCGTTATTTGTATGCTTGCAAAGAAACCTTTTCTTTGGGGGACCGTTTCATACCCGATCTGTCTGCACAAATAAACCGCATACAAACGGAAAATGCGAATATCTTAAAAATACTGAAAGAAGATCAAATACTTAAAGTTACTAATGACAACAACGCAAACTTCGTTCACAGACTATTTGCGGAGTACGTAATAGCTCGATGGCTTTCTGAACATTTTGAAAATAATCCACTAATACAGTCATTGTTTGATGCCAGATATTCAAGTATTCGGAAAATACTTGATCAAATTCTTGCAAGTGATTGTCCATTGCACTTGGCTGTAATAAATCAACAGTACAGTCTTGCTGAAGAGATAATTTCATTAAATAGTGACGCAATACATAAATTAGATCTTGGGGGCCGCTCTGTCCTTCATTTGATAGGTTACTGGGATAATCAATGTAAAAACGTCCTTAATTACGCAGAGTCTGAATATGATGACGAAGAAGCTTCCTTCAACGATGTCCACAATCCTGCAAAAGTTTCATCCAGACTTGCCATAATAAATATTATTAGGAGAATACCAAGTACGTCAAATAGTACTTACGATCAGCTACTTGGATACTCTGAATTGGATTATGCGCTTTCGAATGAGTCGTTTTTCGTTGCAAACGAACTTCTCACAAAATTCCGGGCAGTAAACCTCACACTAGAACAAAATCAGATTCAGAAATATAAGATTCAATTGGAATATAGTGAAGCCTTTTTGGTATGTTATATTTTTGGTAAGGTCAAATTGAATACACGCCATCCATTATTTTTGGGTATCCCCACATTTTCTGAAGTATTTAATATAATTCTCAGATGTGACCAAGAAACTATAATTTTATTTGAAGAACTATTACAAAAGAAATCAAGAAGCATTTTGGCAAAGATATCTCAAAAAACTGATTCTCATAAACGCAATATACTGCATTATAGTGCCTGTAAAGGCCTGGTTAATCTATCTAAAATGTTATGTGAAGAGAAAGATACAGTTATTGCAAAAGACCGCAATGAATGGACTCCGTTACATTTTGCTTCATATTATGGCCACTTAGACGTTGTTGATCTGTTACTTTCGACGACTAAAGAGAACGTAAATTACGTCGAGAAGAAAGGCCGTACCCCTTTAATGCTTGCTGCAGAAAAGGGTTACACTGAAGTGTTAGAATTGTTGCTACAAAATGAAGCTGACGTGAATGCTGTAGATGTATCCAACATGAGCGCTTTGTGCTATGCTATCATGGGACATCATAAAAATGGTACGGAGATACTTTTAAATCATGGTGCACATACTGAGCATCGTACAGAGTCTGGTCGAACACCTCTATTGCTCGCTTCCAGCTTGGGTCGCCTAGAACTAGTTCAGTTACTTGACAATTACAAATGCAACAAATCCGTTGCAGATAATCATCGACAAACCTCATTATTTATTGCTGCCAATGAAGGGCATTTAGAAGTTGCCAGATACTTGTTAGAAAAAGGTGCCAATCTAGAGGTGGTGAATACTGAGGGTTTTTCCACACTTTCTGCTGCTATTTTCAGAGGACACACGGAAATAGTCAAGCTACTTATGGAAAACGGAGGAAATGTAAATGCTGTAGGTCACTTCAATTGGACACCACTTGCATTGGCGACATATTTAAATAATTTAGATCTTGTTACAATTTTATTGTCCCATCCAAACATTGATATACAAGGATCATCTCGATGGATTCCTCTGTACCTTGCAGTTCATCAAAATAACAATGAGATAGTAAACCTGCTTGTGAACAAAGGCGCTTTGGTCAATGTGACCAGTATTAATTATAATCGATCTGCATTATTCGTTGCAGTACAAGAAGGTCAACTAGAAATTGTTAACGTTTTAATAAAAAATGACGCAGATATACACTTACCAGACAAATTTCGTAAAACGCCTCTTTCTGAAGCGATACGTTTGGGAAACCAGAAGATTCTCAAGCTACTTCTTGACAAGACCGACTTTTCAAGCTTGTCTAGTGATTACAATCATTTTTTGCTATGTGAAACTGGAAAATCAAATAATTGCGAGGTTGCTGAAATGTTGCTAAGCATGGGAGTTGCACTAGAAGCAGAAAATGGCGCATCTCCCCTTATCTTTGCGGCGTCTTATGGCCAAAATGCTGTAATGAAATTTTTTTTAAGAAGAGGTGCAGATGTTAACATTATGGATAAAATGCAAAGAACTCCATTGTATTGGGCTGCTTCCAGAGGCTATTTACTAACTGTAAAAGTACTTTTGAATCACGGTGCGGATGTTAACTATTCAACAAAGAATGGAAGTGCTCTTTTTGCTGCGGTACAAAATGAACACACCGACATTGTTCGATTACTGTTACAACAAGGTGCCGATGTTAAAATCACCAATCATCTTGATTTCACTGCTTTGTCGTTAGCTGCATGCCAAGATAATATTGAAATTTTAAAACTATTATTACATTACAATTCTGATATAGAGCACAAATCGAAGTATGGCTTGACGCCCCTTTTACACGCTGCAAAAAAGGGACAAACTGAAATCGCCAAAATTCTCTTGGATAAAGGTGCATTTATAAATGTCAAAGATCACCAGGGTCGGACGCCTATATGCCATGCTGTGTATGAAGGTCACATGGAAACTGTTAAGCTTTTCGTTAATAAAAAATGTGATCTTAGTCAACGGTGTGACAATGGGTTTGACTTACTTCGTGTTGCGGAATATAAGCAACATATGATTATTTACCATTATCTCAGAGATATTAAACAAAAACGTGAAGCAGACAGTGAACGTCGTGGATCTCGTAGGGAAACGAATTGGAGACTAGGTAATAAGACTGAAGATTCCGCTACCAGTAGTATTTGGATGAACTGGAGAGAGAGAAAATAAGATATTACTCATTTCTATTATGTTTTTCATTTTTGAATATTTTTGTAAAATATGAAATAATACAAAACTTATACGTTTAGTAGGTATTTTTAAATTTTTAATGTAGTTATATATTGATTGTATGGCTAGCTCAGTCCATTACGATAAAAGTAGTAAGCATCAATTTCCATATGAATATGATTAGACCAACAGTTTCCCACCTAAAGGGCTGAGGCCGTCTGATAAACTCAACACAGTTTGCACCTCATCTGCTAAACCAAGTTGCCAACAATAAAAATAGCGTCTCAATTAAAATAAAACAAGTTCTCAATTTTATCTACTATTGATAAGGTACAAGGAATTAATTATTTGTGTCTGTGCAAACACTGAAACTCATACCTACCTGCCTATAGGCGACGCGAAGCGCCAGGTTTAGATTACGTTACAGACAGCGAACTTCTACAAACTGTGAGGGCTGTTTATTTATTTCTGTCTCAGATATTCTATTTACTTACCTTCTTTTTCGCAGTTTAAACTTAGGTCATTATTTCTCATTTGGCTCGATTAATTAAAAACATTCATTAACAGTAGGGTGCGAAAATAATAATCTAATAACTTTTGTGTAAAACGCAACGTAATCGGTGTGTATTATAGGCCCTTCAGTAGTGAGTTTCTTAAGCCCGGTTGCACCACACTGATATAGGCTGTAGCATTTATTCATTAAACAGGCTGTAGCTTGACTGACGTTGAAGTTAACATGGCAACGCTGCTGGCACTACAACGTAAAGCGCATGTCTAGTTCAAAAAATCCCAAATATGTTAACTGCGAACACTACTACAAAAAAAGAACTTGCTAAGAAAAAACCAGCCGTCAAATTAATATTAAATTGTGTAGCAAAATTATTTGTTTGTAATGTAATGATTTGAATATATAACATAAGACAACAACAAAAGTAAGTAGCATGTATAGGCTTCAAGAGGTAACATATAGCTTAAAAACAAGTTTATGGGTCAGGTAAACAGGTAGGTACCAAGATTCTAAGAAAGGGTGAAAATTGAAATACACAGGATATATGACTCATCTTTGGTGCAATAAAAACATTTTGTTAAGAACAAGATGAAAAATTACAGGGCCTTGTAAGCAAATTTAACTAAAGACAAAATATGTGGAAATCATTGAGTCGCAACTCATATATCACACATAGATTCTAACGGAAGAGTTTTTGATTAGCGTAATCTTGCCCCATGATAGGTAACTCTCCCCTAGTTTCGGGGTTTCGAGCCTAGGTACAGTTGAATGTCGAAGACAATCAGGAAATTAGGTGTCTTAACTTTTTTGCCACCCCCGTGACTGCTTCAAGCACGGCGAAAATGTTAGTTTACAAACAACAAGTCAGTATACAAACACACAGATCAAAACAATTTGGTAATTTCCACGTAATTCGTAAGGTATAATTACCGGAGTAGTATAGAACAACTCAAGACCTTTTGCAGGGGCACTTCTAAAATGCATTGTGTCGGTCACTCTGTAACTGGGCACAGGCGTGCTGAGGACCCAGAACAAGAGAGGGACAATAAATAAAGAAAAGCAAAGTTTACTACCTTCATTATATAACATAAACAAACAATTTCGCGTCATCAAACCCATAAATCGCACACGAAGAGTAGGTACCTAACAATCTGGAATTTCATTCTGTAACGTGATGCAATTAAGGACAGATAATTCAGCCTTAAAGTGATGCCACTGATAAATACTCTCTAGAGTCTAAAGGAGGTGCAACATCCCCATCCAAGACCTAAAATCAAATCTGCTGGATGAGCCATTTAGCGAAAAAACTAATCGGTCCACGAAGCCAAGTAGGGTTGTAAATTGCAGCTAATTGCGACAATAGTGATCGTTTGGACAAGGTGTCTCGCATGAAATTTTCCATGAACGAAAAGGCATTGCAACTCGAATACCACTGAAACCCTAGGATTATGATTTAACATGGTACTGTCAAAACTATCACTGTCGAACCCAACCCACGCTGGGCACCATACCCCTCAGCGAGAAGATATATCTTTTGCAAAATTCTTCGTGACAAAACTATACAAGGTTATTATCATAACTAGGTACATGAAACTTCACTTGTTCAGGGTATCGACTTGACTCGCATATTTTAGGTGCATGGCGTCTTTTCTTCTCTTCAGGTAGCTGATACCATAGTGACGGTGCGCGTCACGCTTGTTCGGTAGGGAGAAGTCGCTACCAGACGTCCGTTTGGAAGAATGCGCACGTCTTTGGCCCCATCTCGGTTAACCAATTAGTAGGACTTCCCAGAGTAGATAAGCATTGCCAGGTTTCAGGCGCTGCGAAGCTTTAGATCTAACAATTCTGAACTCCATTCTCTTGGGATTCCATCTTATCTTCTTTAGCATTTCATCCATAATCCATAATTACGGCATATCAGGTGTAAATCTCAAGAGGTACTTCTTTGACCTTAAACTCTAAAATGTCGCTCAGACTAGCATATCTATCCTTCATTTCCTTGGGAAAGAATTTAAAATGGCTAGGTACATTCCCATTCTCGCAACGTTACATTATATTAATTCCGAAGGCTGCTTAGATATCGTCTTTTGTGGTTGTAAATAGGATTGGTCGTCAAAACTTTGTAAATGTCGCAAAGGCTCAATTGATTTGTAGTCTCTTGTAAAAGTAATGTCCCTCGGATACCTACCACTGTAGCATAGGCAACCAACATCCCAGCCGACTAGTCCAAGTTGGATTTGCGGGTGTGGGAGGTAGGTAGGTATCTAATGCGGTTCGTTTTCAGCAGGTATTCGCACTTTGCCAAACTAAAAATAAGTTAGTAGAATGAAAATGAATGGCATCGATTTATTAGCTCAAAAGATCTGCGCTGCTTTAATCTATCCTTGGTTTAATACAATAGAAATTTTTACATTTCTTTCAATTGGTTTGGTGCGTTTTAAATTTGGAAATAGTTTAGCTAAAATAATGACCTTTTACTTTTAATTTTTTCGAGTAGATTTTCTTCTAACAAAATAAATGTGATGATTTTGTCGTTTTATACCGACATTGAAATTGAAGTCTCATTATTAATTACTCGGCCTCCTAATGGAATGCGATTATCTGCACTGGAAGCGCAACAATGCCGTTCCTTTTGTAACTACCACCTCCCACTCCTTTCAAACCCCGGGATGGCACCCGCGGAAAAATTCAGCTGTTTTAATTATTTTTCCCTAATGTCTAATCATTTCACCTGCATGAAAAAGCCGGTTTAACTGGTAACTAATTTTTTTGTCAAAAAATATTATACCTATAACCTGGACTAAATATCCTTATAATATGCCTACCTACTCAAAAATATGCAACGTAAAAGCTCTCCTAAACTAAATTCGATATTAAATCAACCACGACCAAGTATCACAAATGCATATCATTTAATTTCTGATGCTAGTTACAAAAGAAAGGTATTGTTGCACAGTGCACTTGTAGGGCATTAATTGCATTTCATGAGGAGACCTACTCGCAAGTAATTATTAATGACACTGGAATTTCAATGTCATTAAAGGACAAGAATATCACCTTTATTTCGTTAGAAGAAAACCTACTCAAAAAATTAAAAAGTGAAAGGTCATTATTTTGTCTTAATAGTCTCTAGCTAAACTATTTGCAAATTTAAAACGCACCAAACCAATTGTAAGAAATGTAAAAATGTTTACTGCACCAAGCCAAGGATATGCAGCGCAGATCCTTTGAGCTAATAAATCGATGGCATTCACTTTTATTCTACTAACTAGTATTTAGTTTGGCTAAATGGGAATATCTGCTGAAAATGAACCGCATTAGATAGCTACCTCGCACACCCGCAAATCCAACTTGGACTAGGCGGCTGGGATGTTGGTTGCCTATGCTACAGTGGTACGTATCCGAGGGACATTACTTTTACAAGAGACTACTTACTACTTAATTCTCAAGATGACTATTGACCTAACACCATGAGAATAAGCTGTTAATAAATTTGTATTCACTTTTCTATATGCTTTCACTTTCATACTTTAATAATAATAATAATATATCCCGATTAGCAGTAATTATAATACCTAGCAAAATAAGAATCTTCCGAAACACCGCAGTTTAGTTAAACTCCTTCATTTTTTTCATATAAAAATTAATGTAAAATTCGAAAGATTGTAGTTATCAAAACTTTATAAGGAAAATTATGCAATATAAACGCGTGTCGGGAATTCTTATATGTGTCAAGATTACTAGAAACAATCGTTTTGCACGTCCTCCTTTTGGCAAGGGGAGCTAGGAATTTCGTAATTCTTAATTTTATTTATTTTATGCATCCTGCGGCTAAAAAAACTATTACATTATTGTTAAAACAATAGTTAACTATTATTATCGTAACGTACGTCAGGAATAACATTACCTATAATTCTTTTTTAGATCGAAAAAATCGGTCGCACGAGTGAAAAGATAAACATTTTCGAAAATTGGCCGCCACCTTGAATTCTGGACTTCCTGTTCAGATTTTGAGGTGCCAACATCGATATTCCTGTTCAGCAGGTACCAATTAGTAAAAAAAAGCCTTGTTGGCCAAATGTTGTCTGAAATGCCCCTAGGACAGAGAAACTTCGAAAAGTGAACCAGTCTACTTATTGAAGATGCCATGATGTGGAATATACCTAATAGCGCAGATTTTAGTATATTTAAATCTGTGCTAATAGGAATCGTTACCAATAGCGAATTTTTGAAGGTGTCTCTGTAAGTTCCTCTTCAGGGGAGAGTAAGGGAAGGAGAAGGGGATATAGGTTTAAATCATATCAATGGACTTGGAAATGTGATTAAGCCTCAGCGAATTTGTTTATATATAACTTGAATATCACTTGAAAGATCAGTTTATAAATATAGATCGAATGTTTGTTGACTCACGTTTAATTAGTAGTGATAAACACAAACACAGCGTGGAATTGCTTGTTGGTTCATGTGACACGTTGACGGGGGTAGGTATTTTACTAATGCTAAAATAAAAATCAAATTGTCATTAGTCTGTCCCTATACCATATAAGACGATACAGAAGGGACATATTTTA